CAGGATTGAGTGCTGGATCATTATTTTCAGGTATTGGTTCTAGGTTATCTGGATTGGCAGGTGGTGCTGCTGGCTTTGCTTCTAGTTACAGGTATTCTTCTTCCTCATCTGCTAGCAGTAGAATGTAAATAAAAAAAGTATTTTTAAATTTATTCTTTTTTATAAAATTATATCAAAAAAATAGAAAAATAAAAAATATTTTGACTTAAAAAAATTTAAAAATTTTTTTAAGTAAAAAAATTGCTGTAAAAACAGGTAAATAAAAAATATAAATTTTATTAATACATTCTAAGTCAAGCCATATTAAAAAAAATAAAAAAAAGAAGCCCATGTCATCAGAGCCAGACAGTATACAATTTCAAGAAATAAATAGAGATGAATACGAAAGGTAAGTAAAAACATAATTAATTAAGAAACAGTGAATCATCACTACTCATAATAGAAGAAAAACGAAAGTTTATTCCTAAAAAATGGAAAAGAAATATTTGAAAAAAAAAGAGAACGAAAATAATTCGTTTGAAATAAACAAAGAAATAAAAATTGTCTTTTTAGGAACAAAAAAAACAAATTTTAAAAATAGTTTTATAAAAAATATAGGAATTTCATTCAAGCATAAACTAACTGAGAAGGTAGGAATTTCGAGACAAAAAGAGTTGGTATGACTTTGATAATGGAGAGAAGCATATTTACCTACACTTGGGATGGGTAAATGTGATAGTATAAGAAGAATAGATGCAAAAGATACTTAAAAGATTACTTACCAAAGAATATTTTATGAATTTTTTAGTGGTAGATTGTAGATATCCCTACGAGTACTCAAGGTGGACATATAGAAGGGGCACAAATATTAGTACACCAGAAGAAATGAAAATATTTTATGAAAAGTTTGATACCACAGGACTGATTTTACATTGTGAGTTTAGTTCTGTAAGAGCACCATACCTTTCCAGAGTACTTAGATTGATAGATAGAAGTGAATGTGAGTATCCTAAGCTTAAATTTCCAGAGATTTATATATTGGAAGGGAGGATATAAATCATTTTATGAAAAGTTTCCTGAGCATTGTATACCAAGAGGATATGTAAAAATGAATTCTAATTCTAATGAAAATAATAAATGAGGTTTACATAAAATTACTTTTTTAAACATATATCAAATTTAAAAAATTAATATTTAGGTATTAGAAAAATAATTAAAAATCTGAATTAACAAAAATATCTTTTTTACGATTCAATTTTGCATTAAATATTTATTTCTAGTTTTCTTTTTGCTCTAGGTTGGTAAATCCATACGAAGATTATCTCGCTACATCTCTATTTAAAATTTAAATACCTAGTTAAAAGAAACATATGGTAAAATATATTTTTACATACATAAGTATTGCTCAAGATACTCCGAGCCTTTCAGTTGCTAAACTCCACTCTTATGAACTCTATTGACTGCCCAAGTCTACCTTTGTTTTACATAAAATTATTTATTTTTTAATATGAAATAAAATTAATATCTTTCATAAATAAATTGATATTTTTTATATGAAATGTGTTTAATATTTTTTTAAATTGATTTGTTAATTTAATATTTATTTGATTACAAAAAATATTTTTCTAAATTATATGAATTTAATATTTTTAATATGAAATAAAAATGATAGTCTTATAAAATAAATTAAATATTTTTCAATAAATTAATACAGGGTTATCCAAAAAACGTATGGGGAAAAATATTTTACCGTATGTTTCCGTCGACTACGTTGAATATTCTTATATAGAAGGTATAGCGAAAAGATCTTCGTATGGATTTCCCATCCCTAGGCAACAAAAAAAGGTTATGCAAAAACATATGCAAATTTATACAAAATGTTATGCAAAATTACTCAAAAACTTATGCAAAATTATTCAAAAAGATATGCAAAAATATGCAATAAGATATGCAGAATTATGCAAAAAAATGTGCAAAATTATGCAATATATTATGCAAAAATAAATAAATTTATAATTGTAAATTTTTAAAATTATTAAGTTCTTTTTTAGTTCTAATATTGGTATAATTTTATTAACAATTTAATAATTTGAACCTTACTTATGGACAACAACAATTCTGGTGGAGAGTCAAATTTTAATGTCGCAGTAAATGCCAAAAAAAGAAAGAAACGGCAAAAATTACATTTGATATCGTCCGAAAAAAAAAATCTTGATAAAAATTATCCCATGCAGAAAATAGCTGAAGATTTAGAGCTTTGTTTGAGAGTCGCATACAATATTGCTGATAAAATTTCTAATAATAAATCTATGACGGAATCGTAACTCCTCTAAGAAATAAGAGATTGAGAATGCAAAGCATAGCTAAAACTAAAATTTCTAATATGCTAATTCAAAATGCTTCCTATACTCAAACAGAAATATACTCACAACTTTTAGAGTTTAGCATAAACAAAACCCAGTCAGCAGTTTCAAGGATCTGTAAGTCGATGAAATATTCAAGAAAAAGACTTGTGTTGGTTCCTGAAGATCGAAACTCGCCTAAAAATATTGAAGAGAGACAAGAATATGCCATAATGGTAGATTTTATCCAGATAGCAACCTAGTTTTTCTTGATGAAACAAGAGTAAACATGCACCAATCAAGTAAATATGGATATAGTCCTATAAATAGGAAAGCGAAAAGAATAGTAAAGTTAAACAAAGGTAAAAACTTATCAGTCATTGTGCTTTAAAGAACAATGGTGTTTTAGATTTTAAAATTTGAGATTACCCTTTGGGGGAGATCAGTTTATATACTATATAAATGAATACTTAGTGCATCATTTTAGTTTAAATCCATATGATACTTTGGTATTAGATAATTGCAGATTTCAAAAAGAAGCGACGTAATTGAGTTATTTGATAAGAAAAATATCAGTTACAGGTTTCTGCCTCCTTACTCACCTCATTTGAATCCATTTAAGGAATATGTTTTATATTTCAAATCACAATTAAATTCTTTTGATAATGTTTTAGAACTTTAGATGATTTAAAATTTAAAATAGTTGACTTTTTATGTGAAGATTCTAGTAATTTTAGCTGGTGGTTTCGAAACATGAGAAAATACGTTAAAAAGGCTTGGCAAAAAGCCATTTCTATAATTGAATTAAGTATAACTAAAATTTAATATGTATATTAATATTTTAATAAATTTATTATGATATTTTTTTTATTTATTTTTAAATATTTTTGCATAACTAATTGAATAATTTTGCAAAACCCATTGCATAATTTTGCATAACACATTGCATAATTCTGTATATCTTTACGCATAATTTTGCATAACGTTTTGCATATCTTTTCGCATAACCCTGTAAAATATTTTTGTATAAAATAAATTAAATATTTTTTTAATTCAAATATAATTAATTTATGCATAAATTATTCATTTTTTATTCAACAAATAAATCAAATATGCTGCAAAGCATTCCAAATGTAAAATACTTTTATTTCCAATTTTGATTCTCTCTTCACATACTGTTGCTTTTTCAAGTAGTTGTTTATAAACATAAAAACTAACCTTCTTTGATAAAAGTTTAACCATTTCTAAAAAGAATTACCGATGGTGGAACACAAGTACCCAGCAAAAATAAAAATCTTCCCTTGCACTCTTTAAGCTTTGTACACTGTGATCTCTAAGTAAGAAATTTACAGTGTTTTCTATCTTTGTTCCCATTCATTTTTGGTAATTTCTACCTTCTTTCTTTTACCTTCCAATAAAGGCAAACTGTTAATTTCTAAAAGACTCAAAATTCTTTCTAAGTTTCCGTTAGACTCTTCGTGTGTTGAAGTTTGACAAAATTTTCATCAAATTTTGCATTTTCTTTTGTTAAAATTCTGTTTACAAATAAAAAGACATTCTTCCAAAGTAAATGTTTTGACTCTTAGTGAAAGAAACCTACTTTTTTATTGGGTCAATAATAGTAGAAAGCTGCTCACACATTAAAATAATCCTAAAACAAGAAGAATACTGCTCTACAGTTCTTCTAAGCCCAGCTTGAGCATCCTTAGTCAACCCTCTGCATTCATTATCACTAAAATTCTTGTGTTTAGTTTTTTATTTGACTTAAAGAATTCTAAAATAGGTCTTGTTTGTGCCATTTGTTTTATAAATGTTTGTACAATAAATTTATCTTTGTTTCCATAGTTAGATGGGTTTATTTCAATGTACTCTTCTGACTCAAAGAATTCTATTTCTATTTTTTGGTCTGAATTTGTTTCTATTTCTGTCTTTTTATGCTTAAAATTTTGTATTTTTCCACTTAAATGGTTTATCAAAGAATATAATAAAGTTCTTTTTCCTGAGCCATTTTTACCGTATAGTATTAAATGTGGTATTGTTTCTATTGAATATTCTTGTAATAAATTTACTAATTCAGTGTGAGTGTTCATTTCTTTAAATGATTTAGGTCTGTATTTTTCTAACTACAACATTTAAGGATAAAAAAATTGATTTATTTTTTATAAAATTAAATATAAATAAATATTTAATTTTCTTCTTTTTAAAATAACAATTAACAAAATAATTTTTTTTTCTTAAAATAAATAAAATAAAAATAATTTATTAATTTATATTTAATTTTTTAATTTCTTTTTTAAAATTTTTCTTTGGTATTTGTTTAAACTTTGTAATTCTCCTAAACACTTTTTTATAAACATTTTCCACAGAAAGATTCTTATTTTCTAGGATAATATCTTCTATAAAATAGTAAAAGTTTGATCTTGGGACAAAGTCATTCTTTTTATTTTTCACTTTGCTACGTTCATAAACATCATTTATTTTTAAATTTGTAGAATAAGTTGGCTCTGTTTTGTTTTCTAAATTTAAAAATGTGGTTCTCATTAATTTACATATTTTTGCTAAATGATCTCCACCTACCATTATTTTGTAATTTATATTTTTTGATAAAAAGGTATTTTTTACTTTTTCTGTTTTTTCTTTCATGGGCAACTTTTATTTTAAAATTTTTTTTTAAGAAAATGACCGAAGCAGGATTCGAACCTACAACCTTGAGATCTGAATCTTCTGCGCTACCGTTGCGCCATCCGGCCTGTTTACTTATGTAAAAAATATTTTTATAATACTTTAAAGAAAAATAAATGTCCTTTTTGTAAGTTACAGAAGAATTTCAGATTCATTCTGTAAGAAATATAAAATAAAAATTAGTTAAAAAATAATAATTAAAATATATTTAAAGTAAAAAAATATTGATTATTGAAATATTTTTTTATTTGTAATTTTATTATAAATATTCCCTTTAACTAAGCTCATTATGAAGAATATGGTTGTTTGGATATTATTACATTTGTTTATACAATGAAATTATAACAACCAGTTTTAAGGTAATAGTTGTATATTTGAAGTTTAAATAAGTTTTTTTGTTGAAATTAATTTATCATTTTAGTGTTGAATAAAATAATACACTCCTTTTTTTTTCAAGTAAAAAATATTTTGTTATATATAATCTGTTTGTTTTGCTTAATCTTAAATTTATAATTTTATATTATAACAAATAAGTCTATCCCAGGTGTTGTTTTTAAAAAAAATAAGTATATAAAAAATAATATATAGACCCAGACATCATCAATAAATAAAAACAAACAATAAAACATTTACTTTAAATCCACTACTTGAATACCTGGTGTTCGGAATATCCCTAGGGATATAACAATAATTAAGAATTCTTTATCAATCTTAAATACAAAAGTTATAATTTATAATTTACCCAAAGAGAAGTTTTTAAAATGTTTTTTTAAAAATATTTTCTCTTTTTATTTTTTATGAAATTAAGACTCTATCATTTCTTCTTTTATTTTATGTTAATACTAAATTATTAGATATTGTATTACAAAAATTACTAGTAGTTATCATATTCGTTGGTCTAAGAGATAATTTTTTTCCCTTTCACAATACTTTTTTTGTTGCCAAGAAATAGGCAATTCATACGAAGATCTTTTCGATGTACATCCTATATAAAATACATATATCTAGTCATAATATACATGAAGTAAGGTATGTTTCTACATACTTAGGTATAGCCCAAAAATACAGCGAGCTTTTACCCGTCAAAACCCACCCCGTGCACTTTATTAAATGCCTAGTCCAGCTTACCTTGCACAATTTGATCACAGGAATGATGTTTTTATGGTTCATGCAAAATCTAACACTGTATTCCTAAGCTATAAATATTCCTGTAATCAAGGATTGAGATAAAGTAGACTATGACAGTCAATTGTGCACAAAGGTAGGTTTTAGCATTCGAGAGGATCGTAGTATCTAAAGCAATGCAGGCAATGTATAAAGAAACTATATACCTTTCGCTACATTTATAAATGTTTAAAATTTTTATATACTAGAATAGCATAATCATAATTCTTTGTGTAAATTTATAATACTTAAGAAATAAAAAACCTCTTTTTAGATATTTATAGTAGCAGTACATTTTTAAAATTATAACAGTTTCTTTTATTTTTAAAATAAAAAAACAAGTATAACAATCTAATTATACAAATATATTTTAATTTCCAGGTGTTGTAGGTGATTTTTTTACTGCAAAATCTTCTAAAAATAAAAATTTTTTAAAGTATTTCTGTCCCAGGATGATGATATCTTCTGGGTTTTAATATAAAAATTAAAAAAATTATACTTGGAATACGTTTTATTCTCGTCTTGAAAGCTCTTTTGGTTTTGTGTTGTTCTTTTTCTCTCTCATTTTGGTTCTTATGAAGTAATAAATATTTATTTAAATATTTATCTTTAAATTTAATAAAATATGTCATTATTAAATGACAATTTCAAAATGACACAATTACTTTTTGCTTAATAAATTAAGTTTTAACATTTATTTTTTATGTGATGATATAAAATTAATGATCCAAATTTCTTAGAATTTAACACACCAAAAAATTTATCAATTTATTAAATAATATCATCACATAAAAAATCTTTAAAAAATTTTTTGCTTCTTCTAATTTTCTCAAATATTAAAATGTATTTCGATCAATAAATAAATTAATGTCATTTGCAAAATAAAAAGTAAAATATTTAATCATTCAAAAAAAAATTCTTTTACATATTCATCAAGGATACTTGGCTCATTTATCACATCGCTTAAAGTTGGTATATCATCCAAATACAAATCATCAATATTTCTAGCATTAATAGGAATACAAACCTTTTGCTTAAAGGATGAATACAAAAAGGGTGCTTTGAGTAAATGATTTAAATCATGGCTAACTTTAGCATCTAGTTTTAAATAATATTTTTCTATTAATTCTTTATGATCTTTCAAATCAAAATATTCTTTTAAAATGTTTATATATTCTTCTACAAAAAATACTTTTTGATTTACGTAGTTTATATAACCAGTTAATGACTTTCTTTCTAAACCATCTAACAAAAGTGCATCTTCATCAAATACCCAGCAATGTAAACCTCTGTTTCCTGAGAAAAAAATTTAATTTTTTTAAAGCCAAATTCTTGGCTTAAAATGTAATTTAGTAGTTTTACTGACACTTTTATTATAGTAAAACAAATCGAACAGATTGACTTACCTGTACAACAATCTCTGGGATAATCTGTTAGAGTCGATGTCAAACACCAATTCTTTCTTTTCTGGTATGTTGTTTAAACCTTTTTGTGGTCTTTCTTTATAAATTGCTCCTATATCAAATTTGGTTGGTACTTTCTCACAAACAGTCGACTTAAACTCTTGAACAGTGTTAAATGTATTATATCGCAAGTAAGCTTCATTGGCAAGAGTAAGTGAAAATTCTCTTCGATCGTTTACTCTAAATAAATCAAACATCTGAGCAAATGGATATGAGTTTTCGTAATATTTTTTTAACTTTGTTGTTTCGTTTTCATCCATCGATAAAAAAAGTTTTTTTATTAATTTAAAAAAAAAATAATAAAAATTAGCCATGTCAAAGTGTCCAGGGATGTCTTCGAAAGAAGCCGGAAAATCTTCAGCTTGTACAGGATGTCCTAATCAATCCACTTGCTCTACAAAAGTAGAAGACCCAAGCATAGAAATCATAAAACAGAAATTCGCTAATCATAAAAAAATTGCTATAATGAGCGGTAAGGGGGGAGTTGGTAAATCAACAGTCTCCAAAACATTTTCACAATTTCTATCTAAGAAACATTCAGTTTGCTTAATTGATTTAGATATAACAGGTCCTTCTACACCCATACTTGTTAATAGTAACAGTCTAGGAATAATAAACCAAATCTCTGACCAGTTTTATTCCTTCGTACCCTTTTTGACTTCAAAGAAACATTTTTAGAAAATGATTTTGAGCTGGCAAATGTTTTAATTTTTGATACCCCACCCAATGTCACTCAATCCCACTTAGACATAGTAAAGTATCTTAATTTGGATGGTGTAATAATTGTCACTCAGCCACATTTTTTATCATTCAATGATTGTAAAAGGATGATTGATTTTTTGTAAAAAAGCTAAATTTAGAATATTAGGGGTAATAGTGAACATGGATGGGTTTGTTTGTGAGTGTGGTACTGTTAATGACAGTATAGAAGATGGAAAATATTTTTGTGAGCAAAACAATGTTAAATATTTAGGAAGTATTAAATTAAAAAAAGAAATTGCCATGAAATGTGATAAAGGCAATGATTTAGAGATAGAAGAACATGAAAATATTTATAAAGAAATAGAATTAATATTTGAATAATTTAAAATACTTCTAGGGAGAAATGCTTTATTTTTTAGTTACAGAGAGAATTTTAGAAACGTTTTATAAAAATAAGACGTAAAAATTTTACTTCAAAATTTTTGTAAAAAAGGAGATTATTCAATTTTTAATAATTTTTTGTATTCAATAAAATTATTTATTTTATCTATAAAAATATTTATATTTCATAAAAAAAATTATTGAAAATTTTTCTCAAAAATTAAAGTAAAATTCATAAAAATATCAATTTTTTTAAAATTTATAACGAAGTAGTACAAATAAATCAAAATACTGTGATAAAAAATTAATATAATTAAAAGTATCCAATTTTTATTTTTTAAGAATACTTGTTATATCTTAAAAGATATTTAAATACTAAATGATTTAAAAGTAGATAAGAATGTTTTCTTATTTTAGTTATTTAAATTGTTTTTATAATTGTAATGTTTTTCATGGTCTCATTCTATTTTTTATTTATAAGACATTTTTAATTAAATAAAAAAATAATTATTGTGGATTTGAATTCATAAAATTTTGTGGGTATAGCAATAGTAAAATTTTTGAATTAATTGGTTTTGAAATATATTATGTAACTCTGATAATTTTCTAAAAAAAAATAGTCAAAAGAAAATATATATAAATAACAGTTTATTATTTTAAAAACATCAGTATAAGTAAATTTGATAAACAAAAAACAGAGGTTACTACTAATTAATTTTAAAAATAATTGTATTTTTTGGCAAAGATTTTTTAAACAAACATAAAAATTATCTTTTAAAATAATAATTTTGATTTAATCAAGCATAAAACAAATTATTTTTTTAGTATAATATTAAATACCACTTTTTTGAAAAAACTGTAAAAAACTAAGTTATTAATTTAGCAAATTTAATTGACTGATTTTTTGCTGTATACTTTAAAATAGAAATTAGAAATATTAATGAGAATTGTTTTTAGATATTGGTATATTAAAATTTTTAAAACTTTAACGATTTTCTAAAAGTAAAATGGAAAAGAAAAACTGTTTACGTTTTACAAATTATATAACCATTATTCTCAAAAGTTTTTGGCTCAATTTTAATAATTTTATTATCTTCCGAAAACAAAAATCAATTATATTTCGTTCTAGGAGAGAAAAATCTAATCGATTTTTGTTTATGAGAGATTTATTTTAAAATTCATAGATATAAGATAAATTTAAAAGAAAGATACCAATAGGTTACCTAACTTATTTAAATAGAGCGTGGGATAGGATTTTAGGAAATCAAAATTTTAAATATTATAAACAAAAAATAAAAATCAAATTTTCTTTAGCTAATCTTTCGTTTGTTATTTTATGGTTATAAGGGTCAAATTGT